GATGAAATCACCATCAAACATTTTAATGGCTACTTTTCTATTCTTCTTAAACCTACTTTAAGCCTGCCTGCGCCTTTATTGTTTGTTGAAGCTGGCATAACTTTCTGAAAGCAAAGCAGAAACCACACCAAGCCCCAGGTGTCGTGGGAGTGCTTCTCGTAATCGGTGGTGGTGTCTTCCTCCTCTCTTCGCTCCTCTCTGTGGATCTTCTAACACTCTACATGCCCTGTCCATAGTCACTCATCCTCTTGCTTTATTCTCCTCTCTTGTAGTCCACCTCTCTTCCATCAACATTGATTCAGGGTTCTCCTCCTCTATACCCTCTGCCTGTCTCCTCAAACTTTCTATCTCTTGTCACTCTTTTACAATAATTCTTTTTTATTTAATTGGATTACGCCTTCCTCCTCTCTCATCTTTCTCTCTCTCTCTCTCTCTCTCCTCTCTCACTCTCTCACCGTCTCCCACCTCTCCACTCTGTTGATTCTTCTTAAGATTTCTGTGGTTCGTTTCTCTCCACCTCTAATGACCAGGGGGAAATTAAGCCGAATAACAAGCAAACATCAACATCATCTCCCTCTTCCTCCATACCCTCTTCTCTTGCTCCTTTCTTCTCCTCTGCTCTTCCCGCCATCTGACTTCATTTCTTATCTTTGTCTTTCTTCAACTGTCTTCCCTTAACACATCGTCTTCTCTCAGTTTTCCTGTCCCTCTTTTCTGACTGCTGTCTCTCCCTCCTGCTCACATCGCTCTCACAATGTCCTTTCTTTTCTTCTGTTTCCCCTTTTCTTTACGCCTTTCCTCTCCTTCATGTGCTTGTCACCACTCGTGTTTCTTTTAAATAAATTTCCTCCATTGCCCTCTTCTTTGAATGCCGAAACCTGGCACAAAGTATAATGACCGTTTTTTTACCTCTTATCTTTTGGAAAACTGCAGTCTGTGTTTACATTTTCAATGCGCGCTCGCCATTCGATGTCTCCTCTCTTGCTGTGTGTGTCTTCTCTCTCTTCACCCATCTGTCTCTCACTCGGCACCTTTCCCCTCTATTTTTGGCTATACAAGGCAGCAAGTCTCCAACACTCAAACCTCCACTGGACATACGATTTGCTTAGGTTTTGGAACTAAAACTACTTGAGCTAGAGGAAGTAGCGCGACGATCCCAACTTCCCCAAGTACGTAGTCGCAGTATTGACAGGAGTTGGCCATCCCTCTTGTCTTACGTGATATGAGCTGTTGCTTAGCCCTTGCTAGCATCCACCAAAGGCTGTCAACAGCGGAACGACAGTTAAGCCCACCCAATACCTCAAATAAAGAGTGTGTTGTGAAGAATAATTCTCTGTCAGGGAATGTCTGTGCGATGGTAAACAAATCCCTGTGAATTTGCTCGAACATCCTTGATTCTGCAAATTTGACCAATTGTAAGTTTCCCGTGACGTTTCATCATAGCAGCCCTCCACCGCGACCCATACACTCACAACCTACTAGCAATTTTATCTGTCCTGAATATTGCCTGATTTTCATTAAATTATATAAAAATATAAAAAAAAAAATATTATTACTGCTCGAAACAGCAAAAGAAACGCCAGCTATCTATCTGTCGTGCGACTTTCTACGTTCACCTAGGCTCTCCCAAATGACTAAAAGCCCCAGTCCAGATTTACTCTGTACAAGCGGCTTCACTCACAACCTTCATCATCCCCTTAGTCTCTTCGCCTCTGCCATTAAGTATGTATAGTAGCTGCTGAGCCCTGTTACAATTGACTGCTCGATGCGCACTGTCCTGGCACAACAGCATCATCTCTGTCAGCATCCCACCCCATCATAACATTCAGTTTGAAGTCAATTCAACATAACAGGTGCTGTCAGTGAATGTGGTACTTGAGCTCATACAGTAGGGCTGCATGGGTACATCTGATAAAATAGGTTGGGAACCACTGAGCTAGTCAACTGATTGTGGAGGGCTGTGTCATTGTGTCATTTTTGTTTTAGTGTTTCTTTGACATCCTAACTGGTAGACTTAAAAGCGGGTTCTCTGCCCATTGAGGTTTAACTGAACCAATTTCTGACACCCAACAGCTCTCCCTCTGAGAAATGTTTGTATAAGTAAAAATCCAATTTTCTGTTTTCCTGGATGACAACATCTGCCCATCCTGTCTGTCTGCGAGAGAATTGAGATGGCAGTTCTAAATGATATTTTCACAACTCAAGTTCAGCAGACAAAACTCACTTGTACACCACCTATCTAAATAATCAACATCTCTTTCTCTCTCTCTCTATATATATATATGTATATATAATACAGTTTGTGGTTGTAAGTTGGTTTTAGTGTCCAAAGTCCAACATTGAAGAAAAGCAAGAAGGGATCTGTGCTGGGAGGCAAACGAGTACAGCAGCAGATAAAGTAGAAACATGGGGAAGGAGAGGGAGATGGACCGTTGAGGAAAGGACAAGAGAGAGGTGAGTGGGTGGAGAACAGAGGTATACGAAAACGCAAGAGAGAGAAAAAAATCTGCACTTGTGGGTAAACAGCATAGTTGAAGAGAGGAGGGGATCCTGGAGAGGGAGGGGTAACAGCAGCAGTGATGGAGGGCGAGAAACAGACTGGGGGGGTGAAGCTGTGGACAAAGGATGGTGGGAGAGGATGGAGGCTGGCTGGTATGTTTGTGCGGCTGATAGAAACACTGAAGGTACAACAGTACTGTCTGTGTGACTGTGTGGGTGCAGATCACCAGAGTCATGGTTATGGATTGACTACATCTACATTTAACCTTACCTTTTTTACCTTTCTTACATTTAACATTACCATTCTTTGCTCTTGCAAATTAGAAGTATAAAAACTTAATTTCTCAGAGACATTTTACAGCAATATATCATTTGAGTTATTTGTTGTGCTCAGTTACTGTCAGAGTTGTTCTGATACAGATACCAGTATCCTACACTGCCTAAAAGGTGTCTGAGCACCGATCCAACATGTCATTTATTAGCCCCAAAATGGAACCCTGCTACTTTCCAGCAGTGTCCTGCTCGCCAATAATTCCCCAGTAAGGTCATGACCCACCCTACATATATATCTGTGTATATCTATACATATATTCTGATGTTCATTTTTATCATGTATCGGATCGGTACTCGGGATTGGCCGATACCCAAAGTTCAGGTATCGGAATCGTCAGCAGGACGCCAGAGTTAACTGTCTTAGATTAAGAATCATGTTTGATGCTGTAAGAATCAAGTCATCTGATCTGAAGACGAAGAACAGGACATGACTGACTGTGGTATGGATGCAGGGGAGAGAGTGGGATTAAGTAACAGAGTGGGAGCAATTGGTAGGAGAGGAGGCGGAAACAGATGTGTCTTTCAAGAACAAAGTTTTTTAAAAGCTAATAATTATCATAATAACTATAAAACACAGCTTTACAGGGAATGTAAATGTGTCTGGAGCTCCTGATTTTGTGATCAGAGTTTAGTGTTTCCCCTATAAAAATTCTAGTTTGGCGTTGGGGTAGAGGCTGATCCAAAATCAGTGCAGTTTATGCATGAAAGCATGAAAAACCCCACAAATATGGCCACAGTACATGGGAGATGTGGGGAGCAGTTCTTCAAGAAACATTCTTCAAAGCTTATGTTGATAGCCATCGATGAATTAATGATTGAATGAGTGAATGTGGGAGGGGGGGGGGGGGGGTTTACACTCGGGCTTTAGAACACTCTGGAACATATAAATGATCAATTGCGTCTTTCAGCAGAGAATAAAAAAAGTTTTGGCTGTCCAAAGCTGCAGTCAAGCCAGAGAAAACAGAGGGAGGAAAGGATGGATGAAAGGATGGATGAAAGGAGGAAGGGAAGTGAAGAAGCTGGCCATACACTTTCATGTACTGGCTTCATAAATCCTGTCTCATTTTACCCTCCTATAATCGTTCTGTCTTGCTCTTACATCTCTCTAACATCTCTCATCCTTCCTCTTCCTTCCTCCCTCTGCAGCGTCCCAAACAGAGTCTGTTGTCACAGTCCCTCTTCTTTCTTTTTCTTCTTTTCCGTCTCGTTCGCGCCATTTTCTCTTTCCCGTGCCCCTCTTCTTCCTCCGTCTGCCTTTCCCCCCGTCATCATCACACTTTCCATCTTCCACCAGCTCCTCCTCCTTCGTTTCCACCCCCTGCTCCTCCTCTTCCTCTACATGGGGAACACCAGGAAGCCGGAGAAGGTGGAGTATTTCCATCCTCCCATTAGGTTTCCTCTCTCCAGTTTGAGGTAGGCCCGGTCTCCCTTCTCCATCTGGATCAAAACACCATTACTGGCCGCCTCACGCGTCACATCCTGGTCGCCGGCAAACGCCGAAATCACCGGCCAGCCGTTGTGCATCAGGCTCACCTGGATGGGGCAGAAAGCACAGACAGTTTACAGAAAGGAAAAGGGGAAAATATAGAGGGAAACTGACAGACACTCGCCCACACACGCAGGGGACTGAAGGGACATTGGGTTCAGCACACACTCAAAATACTCCATATCACGATGACGCTTTCATGTGGAATCATATTTTTAAACTTCCTAGTTGAGCTGCAACATTTTAACATCCTTACATGATTTCATTAGGAAATATGCAGAAATGCATGTGGTTGTGATAATATAACAGAATATTTTATTTGCACGGAGCAGGTTCGTGCTACGCAGTCAGCACATTATCAATAGATAAATCATGCTTCGCTTTTTTTCAATTACCACATGGAAAAGATTTTACAATGACTTAGAGAGACATCCACGCACACAAAGACACAGCCGACCCACACTGTGTCTGACTCAACAAATGTTTCAATGGGGAATAACATCTTTTTACAAAGAGAAGTAGCTGTCAGTGATGCGTCCCCTCTTTTCCCAGGCCAGACAACACACACACACACACACAGACACACAGACACACAGACAGGCTTTCATCACTTCTCTTTTCTAGCAGCAGCAGAAATACAAGCGCCGCCTGGATTTGTTTCCCCCGTATGTTTCACTAAGAAATGGTTTTATGCTACCCCTGGCACCGATGCAGTGCTAAAACAAACTGAAGTGAATTTTGGAGAAATGTCTGTTTATGCAGGATCACACTTTATAAAACCTGTGAGATTATAGGCCTCCCTGTGAGCAAACTCACTGTACCTTGATAAGGAAAGGGAACGCAGGGTGTGTGTTCTACTGTGTTTCTCTGGGTGGTTGTAAGACTCTGACTACATGATGAGTGTTCAGCATCAGCATGAGGCAAATATGCAAACCATTTTTAAGTTAGTTATGTCATCCTGCTTTGTAAATTGACGCTCCTATTTAAATTCATTTTTAAATATGATAAAAGATGGTTTAAGAGTGGGAAGATGCACAAACTATTTATGAGATCACTGATCTGACAAATATATCTGAGAAAGAATAAACCAAGGCAGCTACAATGTGTAGCTTCAAACATGTTCCAAATCCCATCAGACTGTTGTACACATTCAGACTATACATAGGGAGATGCTCATGTAAAAAATATATCTATATTGTACTCAACAAGTCCTACATAGTACAGTAAACAATATATGTTGTTTCTTCATACCCGCTCGACACGATCATTGAAAAATCAATGTTTTATGATGTGACAACAGTTCATTCAAATATTTTCTAAATCACAATAGGGCCAAGTGCAATATCCAAACCGCAGAAGCTACAAACAATTTATTGAAAAAGGTGACAAAACAGCATCATAATGAAGTACTGTAGTGCTAAAGGGGTGCCCCGGCTCCCCAAAAATGTCACATCATCATGATTTTAAGTTTTGATTGTGAAAAATGTATTTCCCACACTAATTGTGAAACATATCACATATCTGATGTTTTTACAATATCGTGCAGCCTCAGTTAAAGGAGGGGTATGTGAGTCTAGGTGATGTGATTATAATCCAGCACACTTCTTTTCAAATGCAGCGAATGTCTCCTCACAGACAGCTAGCTTTCCGCTCTGTACACACCCCTGATCTGTAAATGGGAAACAAACAGTGGATTTGTGCCAGATAATGTTAACTGACTTGTCCACGGACATTCAGCTTTCTCTGATGTTAGCTGTAGTAGCAGGAGTTGTGAGTGTCGCTGTCTGGAGCTGCAGTGCTGGCTCTGGGAAACCACCCTCTCTGCGTGTTAGCAGCAACTTCATATATACCTGATATTACTTCCTCTGTCTGTAATGTCTTCTTTTATTTTATCTTTAACCATTATAAATACTTAAAAAGGCTTCTTTTTTGATAAATTAAGTGTTTATCCATTGTTCAATGAACTCTTCTGTAACTTTAACTGTGTACTTTTCCAGGACTTTTCCAAGTCTTTAAAGTTTAGACCTTAAATAATAATCTAAACTTTAAAAACGACTGCTCAGTGCTAATGGCTTTGGCGAGGGTCCGGGCCCCCAGGTTGGGAACCACTGGGTTAGGGAACAATCGTGGTCATGTCATCGAATAATACAATGTTAACTGGCAGTTGGAAACAGAAAAATGACGGTGGTCTCCCACATTAAGGTCTGATTCAGTTTCATCCACACATACACAGACTTTACACCAGCCATTTATAATAACGTCACAGTGACAGAGCAGTTTTTTACCATTTCATACCAGACAACGAGACGCTAACTGTGATGTTGAAGAGACCGTGCTTTCACAGAGCACACTCAGTGTTTGCTAGCAATACATTTGTTTCTTTACATTATTTACACAGCACGCAGGGTTTTTTTATCATCTGACAGAAATTCACACCTGAGCTCTAAATACGTCAAAAATATTTCTGCACACCCTGGAAGTTAGTAATTGTAAAACTGTCACTAACTGATGGAACACAGTCATAAACATCCCATAATTATACACTTATCCACCTCATTCAACCTGATGGTCAGTGTGTGTGTGTGTGCGTGTGTGTGCAGCAGATGGAGAGCCTGTCAGAGTCAAGAGCTCTCTTGCAGGCACTCCTCTTAATAGCAAACTGAACATAGGGACTCAGACTGTGTGTGTGTGTGTGTGTGTGTGTGTTGCTCTGAACGTCCAGCCTGTGAATTTGATGAAAACACTCAGACCATACTTAAACAATTTTTTTAAATTATCAGGATGAAAACACAGCACAGGTCATGGCGAAATTTACATGTCACAATGTTGAAAATGTAGAAAATGTGACAAAAGTAATAAAATAGGTTGGGCTGTATTTTATATATTATTATTATACAGCATATTTATCTTCAGTATGTGCTTTATGTACAGTAGCCGTTTGAGACAGAGGAGGCACCTCTCAATTTGAGAAGAGAGAACATTGTTTTGGCTGTCTGACCTGAACTTGGCTCCTGCTGAACACATCTTGTGCTGTGGGGAAAATAACTCCTCCTTGCCCATGTTTATTCAACTTCAAACTTTTCAGTTTGACAGTTTGGTACTCCCTCTTCTCATCCATATTCGTCCTCTCTCTGCAGTCTCGAGCAGGCAACAGTCCTTAAAGCAGTGACATAGATAAGTACTCGTGGACGTGGAGGTCACCAAAGTCACTTTTAAAGTTTCAAACTACACTTGTAGCTTTATAGTAAGTTTAAGAAACCAGACTGAAGGAATATCTTTACATAAAATGCGAAGGTGTGCTAAATGGAATTGATGAAGCCGTTTATGTATAATTTATTTAAAGGGTATTGCAGGGATGCACAATATTGACATTTTTGCATATAAACTGTAATTTCCCTGGACAATAATAATGATAATGACACCACTAATGACAGGCTCAGACTAAAGGTTTGGACAGAGTTTGAAATCACGTTGCATCACACACAAAAGGATAAACTTCTGATACGTCTTATCTCAACTTTGCACACACACCAAGATTTGACTCTACAGGACATTTGTTTAAGATTATTGTGCCAGAGGGAGCGGTGCACTCCACGGGTTGTCTATTGTTCAGTGAGAGCTGCAGGTGAGATTTGAACTGTCGGTTTTAAGATCTGTCAACAGTAGTATGCCAGCTAACATTCCCCTCAAAGACTGAATGGTTTACCGCTTCTTGGTAACACCTCTCATTCACTTCTGTACAGACTGGGGCTTCCACACAACAGTCCACTAAAAGATCTTAAAAGTCTCAGATAACCCATTTTATATTAATCGGATAGTTAAAAAAAAAATACAAAAACAATGTCAAACTCCTTTCTGGAGCTGCAACTTGTCACCAAAAGTAGGGTAGTAAAGGAGGATATCAAGGGATTGTTGCAGGTATCTAACCGGACTGGGAGCTTGAAGGACAGGGGGAAGTTTTCTAAACTATTAGCATAGAGGCTGGTGCACCAGAACCAGAGCCGGATGAGCGTGCAACAGAACCGGGTTCCCAGCCTTTTAAGGTTATCCATCATCCATGGATAAGTCTGTTTTAGTTATTTAGTGTAAAGTTATTTAATCCGTGTTTTGAACAACAAGACACTGTGTTGAAATAGATGAACTAAATGTTCAGTCTCCTTGCTGGTTGTTCTGACACTTTTAGAATCATTACTGCTATTCCTGTTAGCATTTAACAAGTATGTTAAATAATTAAATTAATATCATAAACGTGCAACAACTAGTCAACTATTGGCTTTAACTAATGACTACTAGTTGACTAGGAAAATCTTTCATTCTGGGGCAGCCTGAGTTTGGACATAATCATCCGGATTTTAACTAAAATCTTTGAAAATGTATTAGGGAGTTCTGGAGGTTTAAGACTGGAGCTGTAAACCCCTCATATTATCACATAATCTGGGCCAAACATCAGTACTGACCAAGGTCCCAGACCAAATTTCACCTCTGATTGTCAAGAGGGGAAATCTGAGGTAAATCCCAAAACTTCTGTAGTTTTAACCCCAACCCACCACCGTCTGGTTTACACCAGCAGACTGCATCGGGTTTGATGTAATTAGTACAGTAAAAACGATACTTCATTAGGACATATCTTGATGGATTACAAACATTACACTGTTTACGAGACTCTTCAATCACTGAAGAAGATGAGCATAAATCACTTGCACTCAAACGTAGAAACATGAGATTTGGATCTCATCCTGCTGTGCAGTCATCAACAATTCACATCACAATTAAAACAAATGACACGCCCCTTTCATGGAGGCTTTTTGGGACACTATAGCAAGTGATAAGAGATGAGGGGGTGGGTTTCTGATGTGTTTTGGGGGCAAACAAATGGCATTCACCATTTTCTTGCAACAAACCAAGCAGAAAGACTTAAAAGGAGGCCAGTCTAAAAATACCAAGCACGTCCTCCCCTGCCCAAAATGTCAATCAGAGCCTGATATTCTTAAATTACAGATGATGGACACTTGAGCTAAAAAGAACATTGTATGTGGAGAGGTGCAAC